AACTACTCCTCCTCTCTCTCTCTCTCTCTCTCTCTCTCTAAACAGTCATTCCACCACAACACACAGACATGGCCTCAGCCATGGGCTCACAACCTCACTCCCCACCCCTCACCTCAAACCCAAAAAGCCTGAAACCCACCATCTTCAAAAACCCAATCTCTCGTATCAAAAGAAGAACCCTAACATTATCATCTCTGACCGCCATTACAGCAACCTCCAAAACGCTCTTCATATCCCCATCTCCTGCTCTCTCTCTTGATTTCAGGATAACAACCCCTGATTTGACCCCGGAAGAAGCAAAATCTAGAGCACAAAAGCACGCAGAAGAGCTAAAGAAGCTCGAGTCTCTGATCAGTGAGGCTTCATGGAAAGACGCTCAGAAGTTTCTGAGGTTGAATGCATCTCCTCTCCGAGTTGAGCTCAACACCATTATTCAGTCAAGACCAGGGGAGCAGAGGCCACAGCTTAGAAACCTCTATTCCAAGATCTTCAATAGCGTTACTGGGGTGAGTATGTTTAGTCCATGAAAGTACGTACCATAAAGAGAGAATGGTCAAGGACTGGGCCAAGCCTGGGCTCGGCCTCAGGCCTCCGAGTCCACTCGTACTCGGCCGGGTAAACCAGGACACACACCTTGCCAAGCCAAGTAACAGTGTACAAACTTAGAAAATTAAGAAAATAAATTGTTTTTATTAAAATTATATTTCTTTGGTAAGTCACGATGTACAAATGTTTCTATATAATTTTAATGATTTGGATAAGGGTGTGGTTTCTATAAGGCTGCAAGCTTAAACAATCTAATTAAGGCGCACCTCCAAATTCTATCATAACATATGATTTTGGTGTAAAAAATTCTTAAGATTATCTGGAAATCTATTTTTATATTTAATTATAAATTTCAATTTCATACATCTCGATGTCGAGATGATCAATTAGAGGGTTTTTTTATCATTAAAACAACATTTTCTGATGGAATTTTAAGGTGCATCTCTGATTCTACATTTTAAGATTGCAACCTCTTATAAACTTTTTCTTTTTGATAATGGGTTATAATTTTTTTATCATTTGCTCTATTTTATATTTTCTTCCTTCCTAAAACTTTCTACATTATTTCTAGCTATAAATAAATTTTTTCTAAACACCATCTTTTCTATATATATTTTTTGTTATTTTTAGACTTTTAGTGCTCACATGATTTAGTTTGATCTTTAAAGATATTTTTAAAAAAAATTGTTTTCTATTTTTCAAATTTATAGCCTTTTAAAGAGTGTACACTGTTGGGAAAAGTCCATGTGGACTCCCCTAGTAACTCGATATAGGCTAGGGTCGAGTCTGAGGCTAGATACAAATTTCAAAACAATGGTCATGAGTACTATAGCCATCCAGTTTAAGGGAGGGAGGGACGGACGACGACGATGGAGAGAATGGACAATGATGTTGGGTCATGCCATATCTAGTGAGTCTACTCTCTCTTTATCATTTATCACCACTCATTCATTGGGATGACTAGTGTCACTCGAGATCGAAGAAGAGTGATTGTGACTTTCTTATAATAGAGATAAATGGTCTTATTATATACCGTCTTTTATATTAAACATTCTCAAGGTGTGGCTTGTATAAGGCAACAACCTTAATTACAATTACATAAGTAAACAAGTACTACAATTATAAAATTGGTTGTTCAACTTGGGAATAGCTAGGAACAAGACCAGGGCAAGTGGTCATGATGGTAGGGCGTCATGATATAACGTCTGGTGGTCATGATGGTAGGGCGTCATGATATAACGTCTGGAGTTCCATTTGTGAACCCTTATTGAACTTTTGATAAAATACTCGAAACCGCTCTACTACAATTGGAAGTGATAGATGGTTCGATTTTCCCCTTAACTTGGGAGTCGGCCAAATACACCTAGGAATCATATTTAAGAAAGCCTTTTTTATTAGAGAACTATTGGTTTGAGAATGAGTTGAACTTCCTAAACCTTGTTCAAACATTTTAAATTTTGTTTATTTTTTATTTTTTTAAGAAAAATTTGACGAGAGTTGTGAACTCAGCCGATTTGAATTGGAACCTCTTGATGACTAGTTCGACCCACTAATCCGAGTTTGCAAATATTAATAAATAGATTTTTTTTATTTTCCAAATCCTAACAAAATTTGTAGAAATTAGCTTAATAAAGGAATTTAGTGTGGCCAAAGTTAGTGGAGTTTCTAAATTGGCCATTTTTTCTTTCGGTTGTTACTTGAAAAGGTTGCAACCTTTTTAAAATAGGTGCGGTTTGTATAGAGCCGAGGCTCTAAACAATCAAAGTAAAGCACACCTTCAAATAGTGTCGAGAAGCGTGTTTTCGTTATTGAAAATCTTTGTGATACCTTAAAATATATTTTTATTTTTAATTATAAAATTTAAAGCTTCAAAAATAGTGTAGATCGAGCATATCTATGAAAACATGAAAATCTTGAAAATTGACTGTCCACAAATACATTACAAGATGCACTATTTCGAAAACTTTGAAATCCTTTTTTTTTTTTTCATATCTATACATCTTGATGTTAAGATGATCAATTTGAGGATATTTGGGCATCAAAACAACCTCTTTTAGTGAAATTTTTGAGGTGGGCTCTAATTTGATTGTTGAGGGCCTCGGCTCTATATAAACTTTTTCCTTTTAAAATTTAAACATTTTGGGATGAAATCAAGCCTAAATTTGAAAGGAAAATTCTTTCATGCCGGCAGGACTGCATTTCTATAATATGTGGTCCAAAGGTCTAACGCATCCATCTTATGGATGCAAATAGGCGATCCACCTAATAACTAACCGTCTAAATATTTATTAGTTTTTAAATTTTTTTTTTATATTCATGATCTCCATGTTAAAGATTTTATATTCTCTAAAGCTTAAGTTCAAATTATATTAAAAAGCATATTTAATGCCAAGCCCGCATTTCTACAATATGCGGGCTGGCCTCATAGAAACGGTGTCCAATTTAAATTTTTTATTTCGTTTAGCCGTATGTCCTTGGAATTAGAAACAACGATTGCAGTTTACTTAAACTTTAATAAATGCCCTTTTATTTTTAAATGAGGATTTTGAGAGAGTTGGTCATAAAGTAATTTGGGCTTTGTCCTTTTTTCCATTAATTAAGGGATGAAATTTTTATTGGGCCTAGGTTTTATAAAAATAAAATAAAACCTTATCTCAAACCCTCCGGAAAGTACTTTCGGCATTAAAAATCTTCATGATGGCTCTAAATTTAATTTTCAACATTGGTAATAAAATTTGAAACAAAAAAATAGTAAAGATCTTACGGAGTTGTGAACACTTAATATTTAGAACGAGAGGGATGGTCTAAATGATTTGTTGCAACATACATTATTTTTAAAATTTGAAATCCAAATTTTTGTTTGCACAACCACAATATTCAAGCTGAGATGATCGATTTAAAGGTTTTTCAACAATTAAATTACAGTTTTTGATGATTTATGAGGGGAGACTTTACTTATTTTGATAGGGCCACGGCCCTTTCAAATTATTTTCCTTAATTAAATGATATTTATTTGTTTATTGCAGCTAGATTACGCGGCGAGAAGCAGGAGCTTACCACGTGTGCAAGACTGCTTTGAGTCGATGATAGTGACCTTAGATAGTTTCTTAAGCCAAGTACAGTAAAGTCTCGCGAGAAGATACTGTACCCTTGCTCGCGGGGGCGAAAGACATGCGGGTAGTTTTTGGATGGAAAATTTTGTTATCTAAATCTCCGGATTAGTAGTTCTAAAAGAGAGAAAAAAATAATAAAAAATCTATGTGTTCTTAACTAAAAATTTGATATATTAAAAAGATGGACAGTCGTTATTCAATGTTGGTTTTTTTTTTTTCTCTCAAACCCAAAATGAGGTTCTCGAATCGCCCTCCTAGTCTGTCGAATCGTATCAGCCAGATAGAAAATCTGATCTAGACCTGTGATCCGATCCTAGTCGTAGAGTTTTAAAGCCCCAAGTCTTTCGAAGCACTCATTAAGTAAGATATCTATTTTGGGCTTATATTGGTAGTCATAGGTGGTTACATCCCCAAAAGTTTGCCGTCCTAAGAAATTAAGAATGCTCCCAAGATTTCACTTAAGGGAGTAAATTGTTCTATATACTCCCGCAGGAGCTTTCTCAAAAATACTTAATCCATGTGATTCCCAAAGTCCAAGCATTTTCTTCTTGGAGCTTTGTGTCAACCACACAAAAAATAAATGGTCAATTATAGAAACCATGACTACTTCTAGGATGGTGCTTAACACGCAAGACACTAAAAACCCCCCCCTCTCTCTCTCTCTCTCTCACACACACTA